CATTTCTTCTAAGGGATTCCTGCCCACAGTAGTAGATATAATGGTCATCTGAGTTAAATTCACCCATTCCAGTACATTTTAGTTCGCTGATTCCTAGAATGTCAACGTTCACTCTTGCCATCTCCTATTTGACCACTTCCAATTTGCCTTGATTCATGGACCTAACATTCCAGGTTTCTATGCAATATTGCTCTTTACAGCATTGGACCTTGCTTCTCTCACCAGTCACATCCACAACTGGGTATTGTTTTTGCTTCAGCTCTATCCCTTCATTCTTTCTGGAGTTATTTCTCCACTGAACTCCAGTAGCATATTGGGCACCTACTGACCTGGCGAGTTCATCTTTCAGTATCCTATCACTTGCCTTTTCATACTGTTCATGGGGTTCTCAAGACAAGAATACTGAAGTGGTTTGCCATTCCCTTCTCCAGTGGACCACATTCTGACAGACCTCCCCACCATGACGTGTCTGTCTTGGGTGGCCCCACACGGCATGGCTTAGTTTCATTGAGTTAGACAAGGCTGTGGTCCGTGTGATCAGATTGGCTAGTTGTCTGTGATTGTGGTTTTAAAAAACAAAAAACCTAGAACATAAAGCCAGTGGACCAGGATCTTAGGCAGGTTAAGATTTTTGTGGAGTTCTACGTCCCCATCTGTGATGGGGGTGATATTCATGGCTGCACCATACAGTGGTTCTGAGGCTTCAGTGAGATCAGAATTGGAAAGCAGCGTGTAACCGTGAAACCCTTAGCAAACATGACATCACTTTGATTAGTCACGTTCCCAACACATCTTCCACTGGGGGATAGGAATGAGGCTACTTCTATTGATGACACTGTTTACCCCATTTGAGCCCAGTGTAAGCTGTGAGAGAGGGTTTCTTAACCTCCTTTCAAGATGAGGACTGAAGGCTCAAAGAGGTTAAGTAACTCATCAAAGGCCACAGAAGTAGTTAGTGGTAGGACTGGAACCCCAAGTGTTAGACTCCAAACCTCTGAGCTGTACTGTCTTCTGGGGGGGAAGGGCACTTACATGGTAAGAAAGGAAATCCTTAAAGTCTGAGAGGTGAGTGGTGCATCTGGGGTCCTCCTCGTGTGAAGGACAAGGATGGGGAGAAAAACGAGGCCCCAGTTCCCACCTGGCCCCAGGCTATCAGGTCAGGAAGCACAGCTGAGCCCCAGTCAAGTGCACAGGTTACTATCAGATGGAGGAATGGAACTCACATTATTGCACCCATCACTAGGCTTGGTAGGACCCTATCTTCCTTAATTCTTTAATCCTTTGGTGAAGCTGGTATTATTATTCACACAGCTAGTAAGTGAATATTCACAAGTAGGACAATGAAACTTGGAGCTCAGGCGTATCTGTCCCAAGACCCACAGTCTTTGACTGTGCCATGCCAGCTCCCAGTGGGTTCGGGGGTTGACTACTAACAACCAGACCAGATCAGGGAGCCACCCTCTGTCCACTGGAAATGGGCAAGTGTCACCAAAACTGCCAAACTGCCATGAAGAGGGGAGGGTGGTCTGAGGCTGGGCTAGCAGAGAAGGGCCTTGGTGACCCGGAAGACCTCCCCAGCGGGGCAGCTGTCTCCCCAGGTCTGCTCTGACGCCTCTCTCCTCACAGTGCATCTGGGTGGTGAGCTTCCTCTCCGCCTTCTTCCTGAGCCTGCCCTACGGTGTGGCCGTGGGGGTCACCTTCTCCGCCCTGGTTGTGGTCTTCCAGACCCAGTTGTAAGTAATGGTCCCTCCCTAAAGGCACAGCTGTCATGCCCCAGCCGGTCCGCAGGGGCAGCCGCGGGGAGCCTGGTGCAGCTCCTGGGCCCCGCTACCCACGGGGTCTGGCTCTGGAGGGGCTGCCAGCCCCGAGGAGAGCCCGGCCCAGCCGGGACCATTGGCACAGGCCGGGCTGTCTGACTCCCATGTCCTGAAAACCCAGGGGAATCCATCATGGTCGTAGAGGGCTGGGGGCCCAGGGGAAGCAGGGTTGGGCAGGCGGGTGAGACTCAGTGTCCTTCCAAGAGCGTGTCAGACCCCAGACCAGACCGCAGCCCACCCTGAGGGAGCCGTGGGCCAGGAGACAGCTAAGTGTCTCCCATAAAAACATGAAGTGAAGCAGACGGGGAGTCCAGTCCAGGGCAGGAAGGATCCTGAAGTCAGCGACCTGTCTTCTCCTTGAGAACTCAGAGCCAAGAAGTGGTGACTTTGGGGCCACTTACACTTGTATTCTCCATGTTCCTCCCCACTGAGCACCGCGGCCCCCCCCCCCAACCCAGGCGCTGTGTCAGGGAGCCGCCTGCCATCCCTCTAATTATTAGCCCAGCCTCAGGCCACCAGGCGTGTGTCTCCAGTGCAGAGAGATGAGCAGAAAAAGCCCAGGGTCAGGACGGGACCCTCCCCTGCCCTACGTCGGCCCAGCCCCCAGCCCAAGCGTCCCTCCAGGCCTGTCTGCTAACAGCATCCTCTTGTATTTGTCTTTTCCTTCTTCATCCAGTCGTAATGGCTCTGCTTTGGCCCAAGGCATAGACACTGACATTTACGTGAATCCCAAGACCTACAATAGGGTGGGTAATCCAAGATCATGACCGCCCTCTTTCGCCCTACATCACCCCACATAAAAGGGTTTTATGAAAAACCAATAAAAGATATTGCTGCTGACTAAGCTGATTCTCCCTGCCACAGGTCCAAGAAATCCAAGGTATAAAGATCGTCACTTACTGCTCTCCTCTCTACTTCGCCAACTCAGAGATCTTCAGGCAAAAAGTCATTGCCAAGGTAAGGCTCAGTCTCCTAGTGACCAGAGGGAGTGGACAGAGCGTGCCTGGCAGAGGCCAGAAAGGGAGCTGGGAGCCAAGGTCCGGCCACCCTCAGAGAGGGCAGAGGTGAAGACTTCTCTCAGCCCTCTTCCTCCAGACAGGTGTGGACCCCCAGAAAGTGTTGCTGGCCAAGCAAAAGAACCTCAAGAAGCAGGAGAAGGGGAGAACGATGCTCACGCAACAGAGGAAGTCTCTGTTCATGAAAACCAAGGTGAACTGAGGCTAGGAACAGCCCACACCCTCTCCCTTGCCCTCTCTGACCTTGCCAGCTGGTGCCCACCTCCCAGCACCCTCGGAGGCAAGGACAGCGAGCCTCTGTGGCCACTGCTGGGTGACATTGTCTGGTGGGTATCTTCTCCTTGGATGAGGAGCTGTCAGCTCCCAGGGTAACCACTAAACTCCCAAGGCCCCCTCCGCATTTTCTGGCTAAGATGGGATCTGCCCATGGACCTAAGAGCAACCCCAGATCAAGAGTTGCAGTGAATTTCCTGGGGTCCCCAGCCAACCTAGAACTAGCAAGGTGGGTGTGGATGTGGGAATTCTGCAGAGAAAACGTAAACACGGGTAAATGCAAAAAGGGTCTCCGTTGTTTCCAAAGGGGCTTCCTCCCAGAGCCGAGTGGGCTGAAGCTTCAGTGCCTCTCTTAGAAGGGCACTAACTTTGCCTGCATTATGGAGACCAAACGTGCCGACCTGCTCAAGGAGGAGGCTTTGGGAGGCACCAGTCCTCAGGGATTAGAGGGGTTTGGATTCCCCACCACGAAGTCTGGTTATTTACCTCCACCTGCATGCACCTTGCCCCAGCTTCAGCCACAGGGAAGTTTGATTGAGCCTGATGATCTGACTCCGCCCTCCCACTCCCCGCTCCAGACTGTCTCCCTGCAGGAGCTCCAGCAGGACTTTGAGAACGGCTCCCCGACCGACCCCAACAACAACCAGACGCCTGCTAACGGCACCAGTGTGTCCTACATCACCTTCAGCCCTGACAGCTCCACCGCTGCCCACTGCGAGCCCCCAGCCCCTGCTAAGCCCAGTGACATGCTGGCCAGCGTCCCACCCTTTGTCACCTTCCACACCCTCGTCCTAGACATGAGTGGGGTCAGCTTTGTGGATCTGATGGGCATCAAAGCCCTGGCCAAGGTGAGGGAGCCCCAAGGTGGAGGGAGCCCCAGCGCACCCCCAGCCCGACCCCCTCACCCCTACCCTCCCACACTCCCTTTCCCTGGAGGCTTCATTTCGACTGACTGAGTGAGGAGGCTCACCAGGGAGCCTAACCTCTCCTAAAAGCCCTTTTCCCAGATGCCACCAGGACAGGATGCTGCCTGCAGAGCAGACCCAGACAGCACAGAACAGTGCGTGCCCGGGGAGGGACCCCAGGACCGGGCCCCCTGTCCACCCCGTCCTAGCACCCCTCTCTAGCAGACACAGGAACCCGGCCCAGGGTCCTCCGAGTAGAGCTCGTTTTGCCCCGGTTCACAGTCTACTGCTCCTTCCCACACTCACCCAGACACCCTAGCATCAGCCAGGTCTGGCCAACCGAGGGAAGAAGGAGAAATAATATCAGTGGCCCTCACCTTTAGGCCAAACAGACGGCTCACAGGGCAGCTTGAATAAATGCGTCCATCTGATAGCTTTTCAGTGGCCACTTCTGATGGCAGAGTCATTTCAGGGACTGGCCCAGAGAGAGGCAGCATAATGAAACCGAGGAACCGAGAGAGCACAGAGGCTGATGGCCTCGTCAACCAGCTCACAGCCGGCTCCATCCCCAGACAAGGGCTCGGCCTGCTCCCGCAGCCTGGATCTACTAGGATCCAGGTGGCTGAGGCATTAGCTGCTCCCGGCCGTGGTCCTCCCCCACGGCTTCTGCCTAAGCCTCAAAGGCAGGTACGAGGTGGGGTCTGGGATTCTAAGCTAGCGAAAGAAAAGGTCTGGCCCCATAAGAAGGGGCCACGGGGATACCAAGTGGCTGACTTGTTGGCAGAGCCCCACGTCTGCCCCGCTTTCCAGAGCAGCGGTCAGCCAACACTCCAGGGAGGAGTGGTGTGCCCTGCTGCTATTTTTATCCTGGGCTGCCAGGGCTCTCCTGGTTGCTTATTTGTTTGGCTTCCCTCTCAAGTGCATTTTGTGAATCACTTTGGAGGCCCACTCAGAACATTCCTTTCCTTCTGTCTCCCTACCCAACACGCTCCTAACTCCTACAGCTGAGCTCCACCTATGAGAAGATCGGGGTGACAGTCTTCTTGGCGAACATTCACGGTAAGAGAAGAAGGATGTTTAGGGGACTGGAAGGCTGGCGAGGGGCTAGGGTGGGGCTAGGTGGGTGGGAGGCTGAATAGTGAGGGGGGTAAAAACCAGAACAGCACCCGTTCCCCTAAACTACTGCCTGCTCACGAGAACTTCAGGCACAAGTCAGAAGAGACCATGGCTGGGTTATATAACATCCTGTATGCTGTGCTATGCTAAGTCACTTCAGTCATGTCTGACTCTGTGTGACCCTATGGACTGTAGTCTGCCAGGCTCCTCTGACCATGGGATTCTCTCCAGGCAAGAATACTGGAGTGGGTTGCTATGCCCTCCTCCAAGGTATCTTCCCAACCCAGGGATCAAACCTGCATCTACCGCACTGGCAGGGAGGATCTTTACCACTAGGGGTCCCAATAAAAGAGTTGGGGGGTGGGGGTGGGGATTGTGGAGTTAAGGAGAACCAACTAGGATTCTGATTTGCCCACCACTAATTTGCCACATTTAGCTCAATTGGTGAAGAATCTGCCTGCAATGCAGGAGACTCCAGTTCAATTCCTGGGTCGGGTAGATCACCTGGAGAAGGAATAGGCTACCCACTCCAGTATTCTTGGGCTTCCCTTGTGGCTCAGCTGGTAAAGAATCCGCCTGCAATACAGGAGACCTGGGTTTGATCCCTGGGTTGGGAAGATCCACTGGAGAAGGGAAAGGCTACCTACTCCAATATTCTGGCCTGGAGAATTCCATAGACTGTACAGTCTATGGGGTGGCAAAGAGTCAGACACGACTGAGCAACTTTCACTTTCACTTTCAATTTGCCATGTATCCTTGGCCAAGTCATTTCATCTGCCTAGGGATCAACTGCCACCTACATAACACGAAGAGGCTGACTAGATGAACTGGGGAATCTTCTCCATATCCAGAAGTCCATAAATAGGCAGAAAGCACAGATATACCATAACTCTCCAGGGAAGACACACACACAGTTTTATACAGACTGTCTCCGAGGGGCCCACAAATACAGCCCCCAGTCCCTGTCCACACGGCGGTGGACGTATCATCAGCATGTGTGCGGAGTACAAGGATGTGGACACAGCAAGAGCACACAGACGCGCAGGAGAACGGGAACGGCACGTGTCTGCACACCGCGCTTCCCTCAGAGGGCCAGCGCCTTCCAGCAGGACCAGCCAGCCGACTTGTGCAAGCCCCGCTCAGGCAGAGTCCGCACGGGTTCTGCTGTGTATGTGCTCCAGGGTTGGGGAGGAGTAAGGCTCTGCCAACACCGGGCTCTGCAAGAAAGGTCTGGGTGAACAGGAGCAAGAACGGACCCTCAAGGGCCAGAACTGGCCCACGATTTCGGCTTTCCCTCACCACAAAGGACCGACTCCCTGAATCAAGCTGTTTCCTTCTGCCCGGGGTTGAAGGTTCAGCATCCTCAAGCTCACGTTACCCTCTGCTGTCCAGAACTGGTACTGCAAGGCCAGGCCCGGGCCCCGGGACGCAACGAGGGCTCCACCCCCAGCCCTCTCTCCATCTCCCCCACCCCCAGCTCCAGGCCACAGTGGCATCGACTTTTGAAGGTGACCTTTCCCTCCTTGCAGCCCAGGTGTACAATGACATCAGCCAGGGAGGCCTCTTTGAAGACGGGTGTCTAGAGAGCAGTCACGTCTTTCCCAGCATACACGACGCGGTCCTTTTTGCCCAGGCACAGGCCAGGGAAGTGGCCCCAGGACACGACTTCCAAGGGGTAAGGTCTCTGCACCTGGGGAATCCTAGGCCCTGGGGCGTTGAAATAACAGGACGGTTTGGGTTCCAACACCTGTTCTATCAATTAACTTTCCTGAATCTGTTTTCTTATCTGTGGAATGGGTGCCTTAATGTAACATTATCTACCTCACAGGATCTCTCTTTTGTTTTGGTTTCAGGATTAACTGATAGTTATATCTTTTGTGACACTTGAAAGAGCTTTGTATATTACAGAATCTTTATGATTATCAGTTTTGAGATCAGACAAACACCTGAAGCACAGTAGGTTATGCGTGGTACTCTGACATGGCTCAACCATCCTATTCCTTCCCTAGAAACAAGATGTTTTAGAGAAGGGAGGGGAGTAAGCCTGCAGGTTTTAATTTAGCCAAGCTTAGAGATTTCAGGCTGGTGACGGATGAAGAGTGTGGATCAGAGTTTTGTCTCAGCTTCTTGACATTTAATTTACTAGCTCAGTAAATGGTATGCAAATGAGCTACAAATAACAGTGTCTACAAATAACACTCCAGAAAGCTGGAGAGGCAGAAAAAGCCCATCCCGTTGGGGTCCCTGCCCAGGCCACCCCAGATAGCCCCATCTTCCAGGCTGCCCTGACAGCTCATCTTCGACCCTCGGCCTGCCAAACCTCTGTGCCCTAGACCATGATGCAAACCCCTTCTACCCTCTGGGGATCATAAGAAAGGCTTTTCTGGCCCTAGAGCAACCATTTGCTCTTTGCGTTTTGAGACTGATGAAGATGGAGCCATCTGTTCTGGGTGCAGAAAGCCTGTCCAGGGAAACACAGGGCCAGGCATCCGCCCGCCACACAGAGGCAACTGTGACAGCAGTGGCCTTCCTGGTCTCCTGCCCTTTGCCAGCGGAGCAGAGAGGGGGGGATTCTGGGGAAACCCTCATCATTGTAACTGCACAGATAATGCCGTTTTTACAGTTTAAGTATTCTTACAGATGTATGTTACACCAATTGTATATTTACATATTACAGAATATATTCATATCTGTAAGTTATGTACACACACACACACACACACACACTGTTTTCAACAGCGTGGTAAGGCAGGGAGTCAGCAAAGTGAGTGTGATCATCCTACTTTTACAGAGAAGGGAGATGGACTCCCCAGGTCAGGCAGCTAGGTAAGCTAGGTAAGCCTTTCCTGCTTCTGAAGTGCCTGCCAAGGGAGCCGATGCTGATGCACGCCTGTCTGTGAGGAAGAGGGAAACCGTGGCTGTGCTGTGTTTTGAGAGGCAAATGAGGGAGGAGAGGGCAAGGACAAGAGGCCAAGTTAGGCGTCAGAACACATGATGCCCCCCACCCCTGCCATTTGTTCCAGACCATCTTTCAGTCACTGCAGCTCATTCTGCACTGGTTTCCCCCACCCAGGCGCCCGTGGACCCTGAGCTTTCTCTGTATGAGCCGGAGGAGGACAGCCCCAGCTACTGGGATTTAGAGCAGGTGAGCTGACTAGCGGGGTTTAGAAGGGGAAGGAAGGAGACCCTCTCCCACCCAAAGTGTTGGCTGAGCTCTCCTGCCAGAAGCCAGAACAGTCACCTTGAAGGCAATAATGTTTCTTTCTCACCTTTCTTTTATTTTTTTTTTTATTTTTTTTAATTTTTATTAGTTGGAGGCTAATTACTTTACATCATTACAGTAGTTTTTGTTATACATTGATATGAATTAGCCCTGGATTTACATGTATTCCCCATTCTAGTCCCCCCTCCCACCTCCCTCTCCACCCGATCCCTCTGGGTCTTCCCAGTGCACCAGGCCCGAGCACTTGTCTCATGTACCCAACCTGAGCTGGTTATCCGTTTCACCCTAGATAATATACATGTTTCATAGCAGATCTTAATTCTTACTCCTTGAAAGGCATCATGGGGGAAGGGAGAGTCACTGGATCAAGTCCTAGAGAAACAACATCTATTCTTAACTCTCCAACGCACTGGCCGCATGATCTTGGGCAAGCCATGTGACACCACTGGGCCCCCAGTGTTTATCACTGTAAAATAAGGGAAATACGAGGAATGCCTGTCCCATCCACCTAACAAGATTAGTGAGGGATGGTTTTGTTCTTTTGTTAATTCGACTTGTATTGATGGTGTGCCTACTACTTGCTTGACACTGTCCCAGGGTGGGCACACATCCGATCAGATGAATTCCAGGGGTGCAAATACTACTGCCAGTGGGCAGCCCTTCAGAGCCATGCAGATGTGGCATGTACTTCATATAGAATGCTATGGTCCTGACATGAAAAGTAGCCCTACCCCAATGCCCTGAGTTAAAAGAAACCAAAGCTTTAGAGAAATCCAGCTCTGGGTCTATTAGAAAGAACAACTCACTTGGTGCCTCTTCCCAATCTTTTTGGGCATGCGTTCCAACGGTCCTCTGAGCCCATCTCTGGGAGTCCTGGTGGCATGCAGCAGGCATTAGGGAATAGAGCCAGGGCCGCAAAGACGGCACACTGATTCCTGGGCAACCCCCAGAGTCTCCAGCCCATTCCAAACACCTGGCTAGGACAAAAGAGCTTGTCGGAGCAAGAAACGACTTTAGAACTTGTCTGATCTCAATCGTCATCTGATCTAATGAAGAAAGGAGAGCAAAGGAGGGAGGGGCCTGTGACCGTCACACAGCACAGCAGAGGTGATTCAAAACTAGATTTCAAGCTTCTTCTCTCGTCACCTCTATCAGTTCACCTCTTTGGCTGACCCTGCCCCTCCACTGTTCACACCCACACATGCGCACATGCACCCTCACTTCCTCATAACGCCTCTTACTGGCCAGGGTTTAGTAGGGTCACCCGGCAGTTGTGACTACTCAGATCTAACGCTCTCTCCCCCACCCCCTGCGGCCGCTGCAGGAGATGTTCGGAAGCATGTTTCATGCAGAGACCCTGACTGCCCTGTGAGGGCCCAGGCCACCTCCAGAGCCCCTCGGACCCCGTGAAGGATGAGCCTGGGATCGCCGGGAGTGGAGAGCCGAGAACACCTCCGCCGGAACTCGGGTGCCTCTGCTCTGATGTCCCCCCAGGCACCTCTAGAGCTAGCCGGTCTCAGCAACAGGCAGAGACACCTCTTCACGCTCCTACTGACCTGCGGGGCCCCAACCCACGGTGAGCACACCTCCTGCTGGCTGCTCTGCACCCGCCCACACCCTGCCTGTGGCAGCTGAGGGGACCCTTGACTGCCAGGCTTCAAGACTGACTCAGGAACGGAGGGAAAGCTCGTGCTGACATAGCGTGCAAGCTTCGAGAGTGCCCTGAGACCCGCAGGCCTCTGTGTCAGGCTGTCACAGGACACAGAGACAAACTGGCCCATGACTCTGTGGCTCATCCCCTCCCGCTGCCCCAAGTCCGTCCCAGCAGCTCTGTACTCCTGGGTCCATGGGCTCCAGCCACCCAGGAATCTCCGTCTTGGCGACTATGCCCCCTTCCTCCTCCTCTCAAGGCTGCTGAGACCCCCACTGCTATTTGGCACATCAGACTCTAGCCTGGGGAGCGGCCACCAGGACTACCTCCCCAGGGGCAGCCTCCTGAAACATTTTCACTCCCCCTGCCCTCGAGGGCTGCTCCCCTCTACTTGAGACCAGGTAGAAACCCAGGAGGAACAGGGGATAGCTGGCAGAATCCTCTGGCAGCCTAGCAACAGATACCAGTTACTCTGCACAAAAGCTTTGGGCAATCCCTGCTCTGGAGACATGGAGGGAAAGGATGCTCCATCAGTCCAGGGCCAACTGGTGGGCCCAAGCCCCGACAGCTCCCCAACCTTAGAAACACCTCCCCCACTGGAGAAGTCTGCCTGTTCTCTTCTCTGGCAAAGCGCCGATGGTTTTAACCCTCCCTTCTCAGCTCGAGGCCTGAGTGGTTCAGTCATGTGAGGGAAGATGACTCCAAGGTCATATCCCAACTGGGTGCCTGGCGTGGAGAAGGGCTGATGTAGACTGAGTCTTCCCCCAAAGGGATCCCGTGACAAATTCAGGATCTGAGGCCACTTCCTTCTAGGAAAGATGAGAAGAGGGGTTAAGTTCTCCGTATTTATGAAAAAACGTAGAAGAAACCCACTATTGACTTGAAAATAAATAGGTTCCATGTGCAGGTGTTTTGGGAAATTTTCCATGAAAGAGCACAGAAAACACCTTGGCCTCTGCCCACTGTGTCTCCTGAGCTTCTTCAATGAATGATCCCTGCCCAAAGGGTTGGGCTGGCCCAGCCTGGAAAAACGTCGAATTCCTAATTTCAGCCTGACCTACATTGTGTGTCTGTTAAGCGTGAGCTAGTCAGCGAGCAAGTCTTCACAGAGTTAAAGGAGGGGGTGCTGGTGAAGAGCCAACAGATTCTTGGCCTACAAGCACTGCTTCTCTGTGAATTCATTATGCCATCTGGCTGCCAATGGAACTCAAAACTTGGAAGGCAGAGGCCAATGTTATCTGGGATTCACTGTGCCCAGCACCCGAAGTGCCAAATTTCGAGAGGACAAGAACCGTGGCCAATGAAAAGTCAACCTCCCCTGCTCCACCTCCAGCAAAGTCCAGCTCAGGCCCAAGAGGTGGGGGAAAGATCACAGAGTCTCAGGACATCCCAAGTCACAGGTGCCTTGGGAACCAAGTGTCTAGAACCCTTGAGGACTTGCTGAAGTGACCGCAAACCCCCAGGCCAGCCCCAGACCTAAAGGGGATTGCTGGCGCACAGTGGGCTCGAGTGGGGGCTCAGGGAGGGGTCCTGCACCACGTCCAAGAGTGTGAGTACTACCCGAGTCCACGGCGGAGGTAAGGTGGGAAACACCCCGGGTGCAGAGAGACAGCCGGAAGAGAACTCGCTGCTGGAATGCCTTAGCGAGAACACAAGCTCACACAGACCACTTACCGAACGTGACTGAGGCAGGGAAGGAGGGAAGGTAGTGAAAGCATCCAGGATTTCAAAACTTCTGAATGTTCTTAGGGATGCTGATGTGGTTCCCGGGAACCAGGACTCTTGAGATATTTGTGTAATTTATTTAATTTAAATGCCATTCTCCTTTTGTTCATTTTGCTAATAAAGTGGTTTTGAAATGTGAATGAATGCATGTGTTCAGGTGGTTTTACAGAGAGACAAACAAGTCACCTCCAGGAAGAGGCGGCCTTGCTTTGCCCAAGCCCCCGGGGGAAAGAAACGGAAAGCTCAGACTTCTCCTTGAGTCCCCCAGCTCCTCTCTGGGGTCTGGTTTTCCACTCCTGGGAATGAATAAACTCCCATGATACAGCTGAAGAACAGAGATAGGGTGAAACGCCTGGTGTAAGGGATCCTCCAATTCAAGACTGTTCCCAGAGCCAACTTTGTGGTTTCTGTGGCTATCAAGGAAATCAGACTTCCACTGTTTCATGTGCTAATTCTTCAGTATTCATGAGATGTCTCTCGAATGGGCCAATCCTATCAATACTCAGCAAAGCTTTCAGAATCCCCAGTTCGGGGGAGCACACAGCCTAATCCCACATTTCCCTCCCGTATTTGTGAGACAATGCAGGGAGCAAAAGGCCAAAGGACTGGAGTGTCCAACAAGCTTGGCTGATCCAGAACTTTGTTTGCTAACTGTAGGAAATAAGAGGAATCACAGAAAAAGAGCAAAGACTCCTTCTGTCTGGAGACAGAAATAGGATGAAGTGGCAAGAGATGGAAGACTAGAGATAAGACAAAGCAAAGAAGGAAGGAAGATCAGCAGGATAAACGTATGGAAACAAAGACATCAAGAGAGCTAGAAAAGGGAGAACAGGTGAAGGAGGAAGAGGATGCGGTGTAGAGGCAGAGAAGCCGTTGAGTTCCAAAACAATTATGTATCTAAAACAAACTAATCTTGCCTCACCAAGCTGTTTAAATGCCCTTCAAGATCTGAGTAAGTTGGCAATGGGCATCCCTCCCTTCTGAATTTTATATGTATTTTTAATGATACCGTCTCAACCTAACCATTAAAAGTAGAACATGAGACAAAAGCTGCCACCCAGGTATTTGAGAAGTGACCCCAGGGAGCAGTGGTGAAAGGCAGAAGGAGTGAAACAGGCAGGGAGGGAAAACCCACAAAAGAATGAGTTACTGCAGCCCGTACAGAGGGCAACTGGGGCCCCAACCTCCTGGAGCCCTGCGAAGTGCGCCTCCAAACTGACCTGGAGAAACGTTGAACCATCGTTCCCACCTCCTCTTGGCCAAGGGTGATCTATGTGGGTTGCAAGGACGTGAGCACAGAGCAGTCCCGAGGGGCCCTTTGCTGTGGCATCAGGGAGACCCCCAGGGCAGGAAGGAAGAGATGTGCTTGGCTCCAGGATAGGTCAGCAGGTAAGACTGCTCAGAACTATTACCTCTAAAGAGAGTTTTGAGTGGCATATAAGCAGCATCTAAATCAGGTGCATTTCTTTAACCTATCTTTAGAACACATTTTTACCACTAGTTGTAAAACTACAACATGGCTTTAGCAGTCTTTGGGGAAGAAGTGTCAAAACTTCTATGTTAACTAGACTTATTGGGGTCATTGTTTCACAATATAAACAAATACCAAATCATTATATTGTATACCTAAAACTAATAAATGGTTATACATCAATTATATCTCGATTTTTTAATTCTATAAGATGATCTCCCCATTCTACCATGGAATGGAGTATTTTAAGACTATGCATTCCTAAACATGGTCTCTAGTACAATTCATTATTAAGAGGGACCAAGGCCCCTCAGAGCAATGACTGGTTACAGAGCCAGGGCAGGGTAGGGATGAAATGAATCTGAAACAACTTTCTGGGTCAGAAGGCAAGAAATCATTCCCCAAAAATGATGGAGGCATATCACAAGGACACAGGAATCAGATTCAAGCACCTTCTGCTAACCAAATGTAGGGTAACTGGGGCACCAAAATAAACACAAGATGGATTTTAAACCACTAAAAACAATAATTGTGACTATATCAATACTAGATAGATAGATCTCAGGTGCTCTTGCCAGTGATTCAGTCATGTCCAACTCTTTGTGATCCTACGGACTGTAGCCTACCAGGCTCCTTTGTTCAAGGGATTTTCTGGGAAAGAATCCTGGAGTGGGTTGCCATTTCCTCTAGATAGATAGACAGAAGATAATTATAGAGGATTTGTAGTATTTTTTTTTTAACATCTGGAAAGGTTAGTCCCCACCTACAACATTTTTATGATATAGCTTTTTTATTTAAGGATGCCATATTCTTTCCTATTTAGATCTCCTTTTGATAATTTAAGTAGTGTTTTCTCATATAGATCTTACGCATTTCTCAAGTTTATTCCTAGTTTTTTTTTAACCTTTTTTTTATATAGTGTAATCTTGTATTTTCTAGCTGGTCAATGTTTGCTATTGATTTCTGTGTATTAACTTTGTACCCAGAGTACCTGCTGAATTCTTACAGTATTAATAGTTCTGTGGTAGTTTGGCTATTGAATATTTCAAGTTTGCCAGCAATACATACTATGTCTACAAACAATTATAATTTTATCTCCTTTTCAAATCTTTATACCTCTAATCTCTTTCTCTTATTTATTTGTCTTGACTAGTTCCTGCAAAAATGATATAAATAATAGTGGTGAAAGTAGACATCCTTCTCTTTATTCTCTGACTTTAATGCTAAAGTTTCTACTTTTTATCATTAAACATAATTCTGGCTTTAGTATTGGAAAATATACTTTATAATTTTTTTCACATTTTTATCACAAAAGGATCGAGAAAAATCAATGTCTGTCATGACAGTGTGAGGCACTACATTGACCAGCTCCCCAGTGAAACTGGTAACATTTTTTTTTCCTTAATTTAAGCCTCTATAAATGGTCCTAAAAGGGAAAACAGCAAATTAAGAAATATCTATTCAAGAAATAGCTATTAAAAGAATATAGATATAAGATATTATAAAAAACACAGAGGTAAATTTTCATGACCTAGGATTTGGCAAAATATTCTTAGATATGACACCAAATGCACAATAAAAGAACAATAAAAGAAAAAATAGGTACATTGAATTCATCACAATTTAAAACTTCTGTGCTTCGAAAGACACCATCAAGAAGGTAAAAAGACAACCCACAGAACGGAATAAACTATTGCAAATCATACATCTGATAGCAGGGACTTGTATCTAGAACATTAAAAAACACTTGCAACTCAAAATATTCTAATAGACATTTCTCCAGGGAAGATATACAAATGGCCAATAAGCACATGTCAACATCATCAACATCATTTGCCACCTGGGAAATGCAAATCAAACCCACCATGAATTATCCACATATATACATTCTTAATATTGTTTTCCATTATGGTTTATCACAGGATATTGACTATAATTCCCTGTGCTATACATTAGGATCTTGTTGTTTACACATGTATAAATGAGTCACTTCACTGTGCAGCAGATTGGCACAACATTGTAAATCAACTATTCTTTAATATATATGAAGGCTTATACTAACATTATTCATAACAGTCAAACAGTGAAAATCCACATGTCTGCCAATAGATGAAAGATGAATAAATGAAATGTGGTATACTCATATAATGTGATATTATTTGAACAGAAAAAGGAATGAGGTACTAATACAGGCTATAATGCGGGTGAACCTTGAAAACTATGTTGAATGAAATAAACCAGACACAAAAGATCACATATTATATTGTTCCACTTACATGAAATGTCCAGAATAGGTAGGTATATAGAGACAGAAAGTAGATTAGTGATTGCTTAGGTCTAGGAAGGAAGGTGAATGGAATTAGGGGATGATGGTCAAAAGGTACAGGGTTTCTTTAGGGGGTGATGAAAATGCTCTAAAATTGACTGTGGTGATGGTTGCACAATCTGTGAAAATATTGAATTGTACACATTAAAAAAAAGAGATTCTAGACACCTTGTAGTGAAACTTAAGAACACTAAAAACAAAGAGAAGCCCTTAAAAGGAGCCAGAGCGAAAGCAGTTCACTACAAAACATCAATAATTACATTGTCAGACAACTTCTCAATAGAAAAAAATGGAAGCCAGAAAACAGTAAATTAATGTCTTCAAAGTGTTAAAATAACCATCAACATAAAATTGTATACTCAAATTTATCTTGCAAGAATGAGTATAAAATAAAGATACTTTCAAATAGACAACAATTGAGAGAGTTGACTGTCACAACTTTCAATCAAGTGGCTTCAAAAGGATGAATATTGGGAAAAATAAAAATTATTCCAGAAGTAAGTTTTGAGATTCAAGAAGAAAGATTAAACAAGGAAACAGGTAAACATATTGGTAAATATAAAGAAATGTCTATATAATAATAATAGCATAACTAGGTTATTTTTTAAAATAAATTTAAAAATTAAAATAACAAACTACAAGAGCATATAAAGAGAAGGCAACCAGAGTTAAAGTGTTCAGATGTCTTCTTATTTTTCAGAGGAAAAGAGTTACGGTATTAAATTCAAATTTATTAAGTATGAATATAACATTTCAATAGTAAATCATAAGATGGAAAAGAATATAATGTCCAAACCAGTGAGGCAGAGGAGAATAGGATAATAAAAAACCCACATGATGAAAATTTAATAAACTGTTTAAAAAGCCAGTACATGGCAGGAAAGAAGTATAGAAAAAGTAGTGCTAATAAAAAGAAGATAAAGATAAGCCCAAATACACAAGAAATCACAAAAAATATAACTAATCTCACTAGTAAAAGGAATTATCTGATTAGATTAAAAATTAAATTCAGAGACCCTGTAAAACATAGGGACACAAGAATGGAAGAAACCATATACAAGACAAATATTGACCAAAAGCATGAGGTAGCTATATTAATTGCAAAAAATTGGCTTTAAGACAAGGAGACCATGAAGCATAAAGAAGACCACTATGTCATGATAAAATTTTCAACAGTTCTAAATTTGAATGCACCCAATAAAAGTCTCAAAATAAATAGAGCAAAATTGATATTTTAAAAACTGGAAAAAATGGCAAATCCAGCCACACAATGGAAGATTTCGATATACTGTTGGTAACTCATACAGATTTTTAAAAAGTTAGGTATGAAAGAGTTAAGCAATAAAATAAACAATCTTGATTTAGTGAACATACATAGAATTCTGCACACAACAACTAAAATTTACACTTCTTAAGTACATATGAAATATTTACAAAAATTGTTCATATACTAGGCCCTACAGCAATTCTCAACAAATTTCAAACACAGGTATCATTTCACATTTTGTGACACTGCATTGTAGTTAAAAATCAGTTACAAAAAGGGAACAGAAAGGTATGCATTTTTTTAAATTTTAGAAACAGTTCTGAAAAACTCATAGTCAAAGAAGAAATTATATGGAAACTTTAAAACACTTAGACCTAAACAATAGTGAAAATACTACATACCAAAACCCATGGTACACAGGAAAGAGTGCATCATAGTAAATTTGTAGCTCTAAATGCTTTTATCAGAAAAGAAAAAAGACAAAAATTAATGAGCCAAATATTCAACTATGGCAGTTGGAAAACAAACAAATGTAAAGAAAACCAAAGAAAGGAGACAGTAAGAACTGCTCACACCCATTCAACAATTACTATATGCCATGTGCTCTTCTTCATGTACATAAACTAATTTAACCTCCCCAACAACTCTAAGAGGTACATACTGTTGGTATCTCCATTTTACATATGAGGAAACAAGGCTCAGAAAGATTAAATGAATTTCCCAAGATCATCAGCACAACTCAATGAACGTTGAAGGCCTTGGAATGTAACTCAGACAATCTGGCTCCAGAGTTTAAACTCTTAGCTAATATAAAGTTGAAAACTTAAATGAAATGAATAAATTGCTAGTAAATATAATATACCAAAGACGGAATCAAGAAAACAGTAGAAAGCTGAAAAATCCTGTAACTATTAAGTGAAATCATCAGTTTAAAATCTTCCCACAGAGAAAACACCAGGTCCAAATTATTCCATTTTTTAGAATTACTAGAAAATATCTTAGATATTTGATCCTACTTTATAAACACTCTTCCAGAAAATGCAAAAAACAAGCAAATAAAACAAATGGAAGGAAAGTCAAGCTCAGATTTCCCTTTCTTTCCCCTTCCCTCCCCTTCTTCTCCTCTTTCTTCTCTCTCTGCACCGCCCCCACTCCCTCCCCCTCTCTCTCTAGCTCCTTCCCTCCTCTTAAAAGCAGATCCTCACGGTCCAGCATGCCTGCTGGAGCTGCCAACCATCACATGTGAAACTGGAGAAAGTGATTTAAGCAGAGAGTATCTACTTATCCTTCATTCTCCAGATTTAGTCACATGGCAAACCTAGCTACAAGGGTGGGTCTGGGAAATTTGATTTTTTATCTGGGTGTCAATGTGTTGAGCTCATCAGGGTTCTTATTACTTAGAAGGAAGGAGAAACAAATATAGGGCAGCTAGAAATCACTACAGTATCCTCTAACTAGATTTCTACTATACACTTGATAACAAATCCAAAAAAAAAAAAAATTACAGACCAATCACACTTAAAAATAGAATTGTAAAAACTCTAAAAGAAGATACAGCAATGGGTTTATCAAAGTTGAGTTTATCCTAGG